AAAGGAGAACCTGCAAAGAAAACCAAGGAAGGCTCCTGTTCTAGACTTAAGACAAGACAAACGAAATCTTAAAAACCAAAACACAAGCTTCCTGAAGCTTGGCTTTCGCCTATGTGACTTACTACAGCAACACAGCCCTGCAGCCTCCCATTTGAAGGCACTCTGGATGGCACCCATGCGGTGGCTGCCAGGTAAGTCCAGAGGTTGCAGAATCATTTGTCAACACCAAAGGCAAAGGTACCAAGAGCTGGTCCTTTCTTCCCAGAGGTCACTCCTTCTGATCCATGGGTTTATTACCTAGAGCAAACTATTAATCTCGATGCCTTCAGAATACAAAATAGTTTTAGCCAAGTATCCTCCCATGATCCGTATCTCTGGGCATCCCTGCCAGGAGGAAGAACAGAAGGTTCACTGGCTGGACATCAGGGGATCTGTCCCCATCCAAGCTCTACCGCTAACTCAGCCTCCGTTCAGCTGGGCTTCAGTAGCCTCACCTGAAAACAATGGAATTGCCTAAAAAGATGGCGGTTATCTTTTCTTTTCAAAAGTTCTATATTCATGAAAATCTCTAATATTTTGTAAAGCATGTTGGCACTCCCAACGTTTCTTCCAGTGCTTTAATTTGAATATGTAAACTTCTGTATAACGCGTATGTGTAAATGTACACAGGTTCATATTTATGTCAGTACACACACACACTCTGATACTATTAGGTGCTTACACGGGGCTAATTGCTTCCATCTCGAAGCGGCAAATTTTCAGTTCTGCAACAGATGTCGCTGTGTGATTTCTCCTTTCTGTGTTGGATTTTCTGTTAAAAATGCCCAGCATAATGGTCAGTAGCATTCTTCCAAAGAAAGATATACAGCATTTTAATCCTTTGGATTTCTTTCTTTTAAATTTTCTTCCTATGTGGCCAATTTCTATTCAAACCACAGTATCAATTAGTTTGGCCCCTTCTAAGAAATACCCTCCCATAAAAATGGTCCTTTTGTTAAATGCTCACACACACGAGTGCATGCACACACACAGACACACACACTCAAAAATTTAAAAATGCAGTACAAACTCTATATGGCTAGCTTTAGAATGTCACAAAAACACGCCCAATAAGAATGAGTCTCAGAGCACTGATTTTCATAGTAGTGGTATCAATTTTAAAGAAAAAGAAACTCACTTAGCATTACAGGCTGAAGAACTGAAATAATATTAATCTCTTATGTATAAAGCTGAAATGGACCAGGTATGGGATAAAGGTTAAAAATACAATCCTAGAGCACCATTAAAGAGGATTTTTAAAAATGTGGATTTTTCATTTTTAAAACACCCTTAAAAATAAGCAGCTAGGCTAACACGATAATTGCAAGCTATCTTTACCTAATATTCTGACATTTATTATCCTGACACATGTCCTAGGAAAAATGACATCTCTTTCCCTTCACCCAGTGCACTGCCCACTGTGGATCAGTCTCAACAGGTAGCTCCCTAGCAGTGTCTTCCAAGGAGAGCCAACAATGGCAGCAAAGGTTTCAAAAATCTCCTTTGAAACCTGAGAGCCTGTTATGTTCTGGGGTTTTGGAGGGAGTGGAGAGACAGAGAGACAGGTAGTGAGTAAGGGACCAACTCCGGTAAGAATAGGAAGTCAGGAAGCAAGAGAGGAAGCCAGAGTGCCCTGCCTGTTATCATCTTCCCTGCCCGATACCCCTTTACCAGGAAAGCCACTGGGGAAAACTGGATAAAGCATGTACAACATCCATATGAATAAAGCTCTTTGTTCCAGAGAACTGCCTGCTCTTTTATTCCCCCTTTTTTCGTATTTGTTCATTTCAAAAGATTGCTCAATGGGTCTCTTGTTCCTCCAAAATGTCCTGGGCAAATAATGCAAGCTTGTCTCGTCACACAAGTCACTAAATGAAGCCTTGTGCGTCTCCAGTGACACACTGTAAATATAAAGTGGCATTAATGAGGGATATTTTATCGAAGCCATCGTGGGCAAGTGCAAGTCCCTCCTGTGACTATTCAATTTGATGCAGGAACGGCAACAATAGCTGGGCGTCACTTTTGCAAAGTCCCTGTCCCCGGTATGCAAGCCCCAGTAGGCTACAGCAAGCCAGGACTAACTGCCACCTTCACAAATCCCCCACCCATCAGCCATCTTCTCTAATCCTAAAAAGAGTAAGAGCGGGTTGGGCTACCCCAGGTTCCTTCAGGATCCCAAAACAGCAGCATGCCTCCACCTTAAGGATGCCTGGAGTGACTAACAACGTGCAGGCAATCCTATTTTGGATGCATTTCATACAGGTCTGTTTCCCCCAAACAGCACAGGAGAGATGGGAGTAGATTTTCTCTGGGATGGGGGTGAGGGTTGGGGGACAGGAAGAATGGCTTCAGTTACAGAGGCAAACAGAACCAGGAACCCAATACACAATAGCAGGACCTGGCTCTCTCAGCAAGGATGGTAATGAAGTTAGAAGGTAGCACCAACAGGTTTCTTTAAACCCAGGGAATGAGAAGCAGAGGCCTCTGAGAAAGCTTTAACTTAACGTCTGAGGAAAAGAAGTCCATCTGAAATTGATCCCTGCGGTATGGAATCTAGAGCTTTGCTAAGACTCTCTCAAACTGTATACATACATACATGCATGCATACACACACACACACACACACACACACACACACACAGAGCACTCACAACATTAAAGAGAGTCATCTCATCCCCTAGCTACAAATCAAACCCAATTACTTTCTAATTTGAACACAATCTGATAAGCGTCGAACAAACAGGGAGGTACACAAGACCAAGAAGCTGCTTCCATGGTAACTGGCAACAGAATTTTCCTGTAGCTTTGACATGCACGGTTGAGTTCCAGACCGTTCCTCTCTAAGTCAGCACACATCCCTCGCCGGGAAGGCAACTTCTCATCGAGAGAGAGTACAAATATAGTAGTGTTGTTACTACCCAGAGCCTTCAATGGGCAGGCTTGACAAGGGAGGCATAATCTAATCCTACTCTGCCGGTTTAGTGGCATTGCGTGGCTCCCATTTTTAGTCGAAAAGCAATATCCCGGGCCAGCGCTTCCCTCCCCCACCCTTGGTTCTGCAGCCAATACAAGTCTATTGTTGCCTCTGTAATGCGCCAGTTACCCAGCCTTTACTCACGCTCACGTTTAACTGACACTGGCGCTTTTTACAATGCAGCACGAGGGATCTCTTTCGGGAACACTCTATCGAACCCTTCCAGTCAGTGGCATCACCAGAAATTAAGTTGTAACCACACCGGCTTCGGTTAAACCTAATTATCTCGTAACTCATAAATTAAGAATTCACAGAAGAAAAACATATAAACATCCGGAGACAGAACGTAGCATGGAAGACAAAATTCTCAAGCTGGAATGGAAGGTGCTGCCAAGGATCCCACCCTTAGAACCTCAATTGGCTCTTCAAGCCGAGTTCCTCCGCAAGCCTATTTTATTAGTGGGGGGGGGGGGGCAAATCAACCAACCTGGCATCCCCTAAAATCCGAAGCTAGCGTTCCTAAGCATCCCCCTCTCCAACAGCGTGTCTCCTGCGGTGTTTACATAACTATGTGTCCTCTAGCGTGTAAACAAAAGACACAACCCAAGCAGAAAGGCGCCCCCGGAACCGCAGGCTGGCTGGCCCAGCGCTGCATCCTCCCGGGCAGGGGGCTCCGCAGGTGGGGGGGGATGAGCTCGCGGCATCCTCCACCACTTGTTGCTCCCGGGTCCTGCAGCTCGGAGCTGCGAGGGGGTTTGCAGGCACAGAGCCCTAGCGCATCCCCTCGCGCAGACGCCCGCTCGCCACCGCCCGGTGCCGCTCGGTGCCGCCGGTCGCCAGGAGGCAGAGGCAGGCAGTACAGCAGCACGGGGACGCTGTGCGGCGGGCAAGAGCGGCGAGGTGGCGGGAAGGCGGGCGCTGCGCGGCCGGCCTCTCCGGTGGGGAAGAGCTCCCGGCTCCCTTTTGTTAGCAAATGCAAACACTGCCCTCTTCTTTCGCGACCGCGCCAGCGCGCCCGGCACCGGGGCAGCCACACGCGGGGCTCCTGCCAAGCGCTCGGCGTCTTCAGGGAAGGCGCGGCGCTCGCCGAGCCGCCGCCGCCACCCGGGCAGATTCTCAAGACGGCCGGCCACGCGGGGAGCGCCCCGAGGCCCGCAGGGCGCACGCCGGGCCGCAGAGGCCGCGAACGCCCCCGCCACCACCTGCGGGCCGCTTGCCCGAAGGACACGCAGCCGGGAAATCCCGGATTCCCACTCGCGGCAGAGGCCTCGGTGGCGCGGACAGGCTGCGGGCTCCAGGAGCCCTCCTGCAGCGGCGGCGACGAGCGGCCGCCCCGGAGCCGGGAACTTTCCCTGCCTGGATTCCAGCCAAGCCGACCCGCAGCCTAGCGGAGGGGGCCGAGGGGCAGCGTTCGGCTGGAGGGAAACACGAGAGGCGTGCAGCTCTCGGGCGGGGGACCTGCCTGCAGAGCGCGGGCAAGCCGGGGAGAGGACACGACGGTGGGGATGTCCTGGGGACCCGCGAAGGAGAAAGCTTCGGGGAATGGAGAATCGATCGGAGGGCCGAGCTGGAACGGAGGGGGGCGAAAGCTAAGCCCGGGGACACAGGAGGACCTGCAAGTTCCAGGGACAGGAGCGAGTTTCGGAGGGCCCGGAAGGTTCGGGGCGCCTCCGAGGAATCCCCTTCCCCCCACGCGCTAGCCCCCGGCCCCGAGCCCACTCCACTCAGCACCCCGCGCTACGCCAGGAATTTATGTGGGTGCAGCCATCCCTGAGGGCGCCCATCCGCAGCCGCCGGGCAGGAGAGATGGGGCGCCGACCCCTCGGCCCCTTCCATCGCAGCCCCGACTTTCCTTGCCACGCTCCCGCCGCTTTGGATTTAGGAAGTGGGGGAAGGTTGTCATGGAAACGTCCCCCTTCCATAGCTACGGCTCCTGGGGGTGCCCGGGGGGGTTTTCGGGACCAATCCGTGGGTGCCCACAACCTACCTGTGGGGATCAGTGCCGCGGCCGAGAGGAGCAACAGCAAGAGCCGGAGCCGGAGCCCTGGAGGTGCCGCTGCCGCCGCCACAGCCGCTGCCGCCGCACACTGGGAACCGCTCGGCAGCACAGCACTCGCCATGTCGGGCACCTGCCTCAGACTGGCGGCGGTGGCTGCCTCCGGAGCCCGAGCGGACAGCTAATGAGATGCTAATGAGATGCGCTGGAGGCGGAGTCAGGAGCGACCAATCGAGGCACCGCGAGCCCAACCCGGCTCTCCGAGGACTAGCCCCCTCCCCCACCCCGCCCCCTGGCGCTAGCGTTCGGCCGCGCGCCCGCGCCACCTAGGGGCGGGGCCGAGGGGAGGGGCCTATGCAAATGTGTTTACGTTAAAATTCCGCCTCGCTTCCCCGAAGCAGAAGAACCAGTCCTGCCCAGCCCCTGGCTCGGTGGTTGGGGAGGGGGTTTCAGCTTCAGGAGGCGGGTCTCTAGCTTCCGTGTACCTTTACTAGGAACCTTTAAGCCGCCCGCCCTGGAGGACTCAAGCTCCGAGAGTCTCCCCGGGAGGCTCCTGGGCCTGAGCACTGCGTGTGCATCGGCCTGTGGAAGTCACACGTTACAAAATTTCCTTTCCCTCACCTTGCACGAAGGAATAAGATCTTTGGGAAACCGGGGAGTGGAGAGTACGAGTGCAGGTCCCCGGATTGACAAAACAATCTGAGAGAAGTGCATGCGTGTTTTGCACGTTCGGAGAAGCAGGAGAGCCCGCTCAACAACCTAGCGGCAGACTAGGGGATAGTTGGGAGACTGAAACCGTAGAATCGGGGTTCTGGGATTTTCAAATGGATGTTTGGCTGTAGATTCTGGTGAAAGGTAAATCAAGGTGGGTATACTCAGGCTTCCCAGCTTGTTGGAAGTGTCCTTCCCATGTTTCATAGATTAGAGCATATAAGTAATATGATATATTTAAGATTACACGCACACAAAAACAAAAAATAAATCTACCGGTCAGGTTTGTGGGGAAGGGAATGTAGGGAATCAAGTGCGGCAATGATAGTCAGTCGAGTTCCTCCTCTAGGGCTCGAATCAATTCCCTCCTCTCCTATGCTTCCAGTCCTTTCTAAGGCATCGAGAGACCAACAGGTGCTCAGTTTTAGTTCTCCGGCTGATGGGACTTGCATGCATCTCTGGACACACTTTCTCCCTCCCCGAAATTATCTTTGCTTTCTTTTCAACCAGGCAGCCGGCTCTCTTGTTTGTCTGCCTTTTAATTACTTATTTTCTTTCCCTCTAGAAGACCGTGTGCGTTCTGACCCTCTGTTGCTCAAGCATCAAATTGAAGGACGAGCCGTATTAAGTGTAAAGGTTTATAATAATTTAAGTATTCATAGAATGCAGAACAATAAGATGTAGGAAATACAATTTGCATAATAAATATCAATATCACAACAGCTAAAACAAACCATGACAAATTATATGTGGCTAAATGACCAAGAGATTACCAAATGTAAATTGCTGAATGTGAACTATAGTCTAGAAGAGCTGTACCAAGCCCTCTGTCCTCATGTTGCAAATAAATTAAAAAAATAAATATCAAAAAGGAACTTAAGATCGGCCAACCCATCAAATGAGTTACACATTAAAGCAGCCTCATATTATCCATTATGCATAAACTAATTTTCGAAACTGCCCTGTCTCCACATCCCTGGATCTTCTGCTCTGTAATTACAGGCCCCAATGCACGAACTGCAGGCAGTCTCCAGAAGCAGAGAAAGCTCCAGTAGGCAAATCACAGTATATGAGGCAGAAAACCAACACCACGTGACCTCCAGGATAATGCCCAGTCTGCAAAAGCCAGAAGTGAAACTACCTAGATCAGATCTGATACAAAACAGATTTCTACCAAAATCAGAATGAAAAATTCAGAGGCTGTCTTATTCTGACAACGGAATCTACTGCAAACTCCAATCCTATATGCCAACGACAACAGCACAGAGCTGGGCACTCGAGAATATTCAGTCTTCTGTATAAGACTGCTACTTGTGTGACCTTGAGTTCTTATCTACCTTCAAAGTAGATACTATTTATTTCCCCCATTTTTTATTCGACATGGTTAGAAAAATGAAACACCAGCCTTTAAAAAAAATTCAATTTCTAAATTGCAGACAGCGAGGCAGAGCCCTCACAACTAACCACTGTGCTGCACTGTGCCTCAGTAAATATGTGTTAAGTGAAGGAATACATTTCACATCATAATGCATGAATAATAAGCAAAGGAGAGCTGTATTTTTAACATAAGGTGAAAATATGCCAGCAACCCAGAAACGTTTTTGAAAATAACAGGATTGCAGCAGACTCCTAAGGAAAAGCATTCCTCTTGAGGCTGAGGTTCCAAGAGAATGTAGCCAGGCCCGAGTCCTCCCACTCTCAGAACGAAGTATGGGGACATTGGAAGATGTGCAGTGTTTTCATCCCCCATCATTCTCTTGGCACATCAAATGAACACCTACTCAAATTTCCAGTTGGCAAAGAACAACATGGGACATTTCTATAGGAAATGCCAATGCTGTGTGGCTTACCTCACTGGAAGAATGCAAACGCCTTTAAAGATTTCCTCAGAAATGCCACCTGCCATGCAGAATTTGAGGAAGTTGGCACATCCAGTTTTACCAGGTATGGAAACTGAGGACTGATAGCCAGTTCCACACCAGGATCTTCCTGGGAACCAGAGGTGAGACTCCTGGACAAAGCAAGCTGTCGTTCCTCTCTCCCCTAGCCACACTCCCCTTCCTCCTCCCCCCGCCCAGCTTTTTCACACCAAAGATGTCGCCAACCATTTTAACATATGGAACATGCGAGGAACGCATCAAATTCCCACAGCCGCTAAGTACAAGTTACGACTATCCTGGCTTTCTCGTAGTAAAGCGCGTCATTTTCTGCTCCGCGGACTAGAACTCATCGCCAAGAACAACTTCCAGCATTTTTCCCTTGCTACATGGATTGAACCAATTTTAAAAACCAGATGGTGTTTTTGCCATTTATAACTGATAATCAATTGTTTTGTGAATTTAATTTTTTCAAGAAAGAACTGAAATACTTATCAGAATTACAATCTGGGCACAACTTGTGTTAGAGCAAAATTACCAGAAGCACCAAAGTCCTAGTCTCTCTTCTCTCTCTCTCTGTCTCTCTCTCTCTCTGTGTGTGTATGTTAATGAGAAACCAGAGAGAGAGAGAATATTGTTTGCCATCACTAAAACAGTTGAGAAATGTGGATAAACATATATAAAAAATAAGCATTAAAGGAGACTCATGTTTGTGGAAATATATCAGAGATAATTAATGGCAACTAGTAATATCTTGCCTCTTAAAATGCTAATTATTTTAATACCCATGTATAAGAGCAACTCAGACAAATTATTAAGAAAAGGAAAACGGTAGTTGGAGTCAGCATTTGCCCAGCTACCGGATTGTTTAAATATTATCAGAAAAGTGTTTGAATCCATGTTATAGACTGGGATCCCTAACATGCACTCACATGCACATGCGCGCACACACACACACACACACACACTTCCTACAATGAAACTCAAAGTCCCAGCACAGTACTATTCAGTGGTGGGCCCTTTGAGAGGTAGTTAAGTTTAGTTGAGATCCTAAGGATGAGGCGTCCATGATGCAGTTAAAGCCTTCTAAGAAGAAAGAGACAATAGGTTCTATGAGTATACACACAGGGGATGTGGCACACTCATGGTGACAGGTTGGCTTGGCAAATCGAGAAAAGAATGCTCACCAGAGTAGAGCAATGCTGGCACCATGATTTAGACTTGAAACCGCTAGACCAGTGGTTCTCAGCCTATGGGGTTGTGACCCACTTGCAGGAGAGGAGGTGGTCAAGTGACCCTTTCCCAGAAGTCGCCTAAGGCCATTGGAAAATACAGATATTTACATTACAATCCATAACAGTACCAAAGTTACAGTTATGAAGTAACAACAAAAGTAATTTATTATGTAATTGATGGTTGGGGGTCACCACAGCATGAGGAACCGGATTCCAGAGTTGTAGCGTTAGGAAGGTTGAGAATTGGTCTAGACTTTAAGAGTAGAAGGAAAATAATTTTGCACTGTTTCAAGCTCTACATTCTTAAATGACAGTTTATGGCCCTCTGTGGAGTTACGTAAGAGATGTAGAGGTCATTTTAAAAACTGGCCACAGTGAGTTTCCTTAACGTGTAACAATCCAAAAAAATATAAATAAATAAACCTGAAAATCCAAAAGTGATGAATTTGAGATGTTTCTGACAGCTCTTATTTTTGTTGCCCTGTGTGATGTCACCGCAACTTTGGCTCTGACACACAACACACACACCAAGCAATGTCAGCAAACCCTGCCAGGAACACTTGAGCTCAAGTTCGAAACCACCATAGGCCAAGACTTGTAGCGCATTGCTTTTTTGCCCTTACAGAAGCATGATGGTCTAAATATGAGAAACAAAAACCTTTTAAATTTTCCTACAGTCATTCCTCACCATGTCTCAAATTAGTACATCTTTGCATTGTTCTGGGTTACAATGTTTGTCTTTAAAAATTACTGTTTGAACCGATGACTTAAAATTTTATTTTAAAATCATTCAAATAATTTGGGATTGGAACAGAATTTCTACTATTTTACAAAGTAGCCAGCCCTACACAGGTTCCTGCTGTTTTATGCTATATAACCTTACAAACCAGCATTCTCAGTTTTGAGAATTATTAGATGACACTATCAGTCAACTCAGAAAAGTACTGAATCCTGTGTCCTCCAGTATCAAATATTCAACTAAGGTACAAGTTTTTATGTAAAGACAAATATACACACCCATCTCATATGCAAGTTAGTGTTCATCTTTAACAAATGGTAACAGTATATGAACATCAAAGAAGTATTCTTAAAATTTTTATTTATGATTTTTTATCGATAAGCATTTCATTCCTTTACATATTTTGTTTATTTCTATACCTAGGGCTGGATAGAAATTTCCTGGACAAATAGGAATCACAAGCAGAAAACATTTAAAAGTTCTGGTCTAAGCCATCTAACTTCTAGAATTTTGGTATAGCCTCTAGTATTTTGTCTTAGCAGTCCAGGTACGTTAGAACAATCTGGTGCCTTAGCAA